ATAAAATTTATATTAGTGATTTAGGATTATGTAAACCTGTAAAATCATTTTTGAAAAAATATGATATTTATGGTGTTATACCATTTATGGCACCAGAAGTTTTAAGAGGCAATTCTTATACTCCAGCTAGTGATATATATAGTTTTTCTATGATTATGTGGGAGTTTACATCTGGGATACCACCATTTAATAATAGAGCACATGATATTCAACTTAGTTTGAGTATTTGTGAAGGTGAACGTCCTGAAATTATTGAAAATACTCCACAATGTTATGTAGAATTGATGAAAAAGTGTTGGGATGTAACCTCATTAAAAAGGCCATCTTCTAAAGAAGTGTTAGATATTATTGAAAAATGGATTTCTCCATATAATAATGTTAAAGATATTAATGAGGAATTAAAATACAATATTATGGAATTTATAAATGCACCAATTGGGCATAACAATAATCTTGTTACTGGATCTCATTCACAGGCATATTATACAAGTCGCTTACTTGATTTTACTAGTAAACAATTGAATGAAATTCTTGAAAGTAGAGATTTACAAGCTCATTATTCAAGTCAATTTACTAGTGGAAAAGTGAATGAAATTCTTGAAAGTGAAGATTTACAAGCTAATGTAAAAGTGAATGAAATGCCAGTAAGTGAAGATTTGGATGATTGTTTAATTTGAATTCATTAGGTATGTAATATAACAGTTATATAAAAAGAATTAATTTTGCAAATTATTTATGTGAATTAATTTTATTTGTTTAGTTAATTATTTAGATGTTTTTATAAGAATTTATAGTTTTTTTTAAGTGGTATTTGATGTCATACATTTAACAGAAATTGTTGTTTAGAGTGTATCTTTTGCAATTGCTATAATAGATACTAATATGATTAAATTTATTTTATTATACTTGTCTAATATTAATTTTAGTATCATTAAGAAATTGTAAGGATCTTAAATAATAGTAAATTCATAAACTTTTCGCACTACTGGTTAGATTTTTTATAAAAATTCGCCAAAATCTGGCTAAAAACTGATTAAAATCAGAAAAAGTTACTATTAGTCAGTAATTCAAACTATCATACTATCCAATTGATTAAAATCATTTTATTCCAAGATGAGTTGTTTTTAGTTAGTAAAAAAATGAATAAATATTTCATGTGATTTGTAATAAATAATTAGTAATTAATTTAACAGAAATTTCATCATTTATCGAGACATTTACTAAATTGTCAATGTGATCTATCAGTATTGTTCTATTTCGTCAGTTTCTTTCATTTCAAAGCCACAAGAATAAACCTAAAAGGTAGAAAAAGAGGTGGCTTGATTAGTAATATTCAAAGAAAAGAAAAAATAATATTGTTATACGAATGATTGTCAAAATGTTTTTTACCAGTGTTGTTTTGTTTAGATCAGTTTCTTTTATTTTCAAAGTCACAAGATCAAACCTAAAATGGTAAATCAATTTTTGATATAGTATAGTTTATTTAGATTAGTAAACTAATCATAATACTATTATTATAATTTAAAATAAAATTAGTTAATTAAAAAGTTGGCAAAAAACAAATTAGTCATCGGTAAATATGCTGATCTACAATATTTTCATATCAGCCGCAGTTCCCATTAGTCACCGGGTGATCTGCTATTTTTTTTTTTTATTTAAACAACTTTAATTCGTAAAAAAAAATTACAGGCCTCTTCTGAATCAGTATCTGAATCAGAGTCTGAATCAGAATCAGATACTGAATCAGATACTGAATATACAATATAATAATGAACGGTCATTTAGGTCACACAAATTTCTAAAAAAGGTGATTTTTTTTAGAAAAAGGAAATTGTTTATTATACTAAAGATAATAAGCATATACAAAATTTTATTTTTAAGGTAGTACAAATCTTTTGGAGGACCATCTTAATTATATTATGTCAATAAATAAATTACAGTATTAATAGCTTTGTAAGATATTGTTCAAATTCATTAATATCAAATAGAAAAATATATGATGTTGTTATTACAATATTTCATCGATTGCTTTTACGTCAAAGTAGAAACATTAAACATTTAGATATTTTCTATATTTTCTTACATTTATTTAATGATGAAAGTTTTGAAAACTTTAATGTTCAAAGTTTTATTAAGTTCACTAAGTTTTTGTTTAGATACCATTAACAAAAAATTTGAACAAGAATTTTTAATAAGTATACCAAATAATTTGAGGCAATTGATAATTGATTTTCCTCAAAATTCAATAGGAACATATCAACGTGGTGCTCTAATCAATACTACTACTTGGGAAAGGCTTTGTAAAACTATTCAAGAGCAAAACAAACTCAAGATATTTAAGATAAACAGTTTTCAGACTTTATCAAATAATGTTCTTTTGTCCTTAGAAATTCAAAAGCATTCTTTAGTTCATATTGAATTTAAAAATATTAGGTTTAATAATGTTGATTTAAAAGATTTCAATAATTTATATAATTTAGGATATTTAAAATTTGAATGTTGTAAAGGTATATTATTAAATCAATGAGAGATTTTAAAGGTTGCTTCATTTAAGCTCAAGGAACTATCAATTATATGTAATAAATGGAATGCTGGTGACACATCTTTAATGGTCAAATATTTTGGTACATCATTACAAAGATTATTAGTTGAACCCCTTACAATTAATCTTATTGAAAATATATCGATGTATTGTCCAAATCTTATTTATTTAAAATTAGGAATTTATTCATGTACCAATTTATCAGTATTAGCATATTTTAAAAATTTAAAAACTAAAATGTTAAGTATTACTATTTTTCATGACATTGATAAATTTTTTATAAATTTAGCAAATAATATACCTATTAATGTTAGCAAAATTTCTATTTGTATTCGTCCTTTTAAATAAATTTTTAAAATTTAAGGAATTTTTAGAAAATTGTCATAATAGTTTTGAAATGATTAATTTAAATCATATTATTGAATTAAAATTTCTTAAAATCGTTTTAACTTATATTGAAAGAAGCAACAACAGTTTAAAAATTCCTGGTATGATGAAATTAGAAAAAGAATTAAATGATGAGGAATTAAATTTATTGAATCAAATTAAAGCTAAAGGAGTTAAAATAGTGGAATTTAGATATTTTAGTAAACCAATAGTTTATTTATAGCTAGCTTTAGGGTTTATTTAATTTTACTTTATATTATTATTATGTATTTTTTTTTTTTTAATAAAAATTTTTTATAAGAAAGTAAGTTTATATTAGGATATCCCAATTTTAAGTTTATTTATCCAATCTGGATAAATACCAATCAGTTTGACCAATCATTTTGGCTGGATAATTGCATTATCCACTAAAGTAATTAATTTTAACAATTTAGATTTATGCAAAGAATTCACTTAAAATATTTATTTTTTTTTAAATAATTATCTTTTTTTTTTAATATTACTAAATTGTGATTTGCAGACTCTGTGCATATGAACTGAATCAGCTGATCATTGATCCTCGTTCAAACCAAAGAAAGGTAAGTATTTTTATTATTAATTAAAAAAAAAACAATTTTCACTTTGCTGAAATAATGAAACATATTTTTTATACCATTGTAGTAAAAAAAATGTGTTTCTTTTGATCCACCTATTGACTCTAGAAATATAAAATTAATATCATTTAATATGTCTTGATGAAATGAATCTAATGGAATAAAATTTATTTTTCCATATTTATTAGATTAAATTGTATTTTCAAATTTCTAGAAAATTCTAGAAATATCATTAATTGTGTTTTAACTAGAGAATTCTAACAAACTAAATCTTATCTTTTGACAATAAAGTAAGAGCTAATTTTTGGTCCAACTAATTACATTACACCACTTGCCTTATCAAATTTAAATTCTCTAATCCTTCCCTCAATATTAAGACTAATTACATCTTTAAGAATATTGTCTCTCTGCAGGTCTAAAAGCATCTGATTTGTGTATCTTGAGTATTGAAAATTTGATTGGGTCTAGATATTTTATTACAATATTTACCGTTGTTACAAGCGGTGGTTTAGGTTCTTGTTGTGGGAGAGATTTGATTGCCTTTTTTCCTCAGCGTTTCGACCTGCCTTCCCGACACTACTGTGAGAGCTAGTTCCATTCCTTTGCTCTTTAAAAAAATTTTATAAGTTTGCCTTTATTAACCAAATATATACATGAAAATGTAGTAGTAATAAAATGAATACAAATCATCGAGAGAGCCATTTTCGAGTTTCTGATCCAGATATACTAGTAATTCATTGTGTTGTTCAAATGGTTTTCCGGCTTCAACCCACTTATCGTATTCCTCTTCCGTAAAATGAGAAAACTGAGACCGGGGAAACTGAGACTCAGACATATTTATTAGATTTTCTAATAGTTTAAAAAACAGTTTAAAGGCTGGCAATGTGATTCTGATGGCACTTTTATACTCAGAAATTTAATGTAGCACAAATTTAAGTGAATTATTATGCGATCAAATGATGTCACGACTTTAAAAATATCATTATTATTATATACTGATGTGGCTCATCAAGATTAGTAATAGTAGTGATAGATTATGACAGTGCTCTTATCATTTTGACCATTATTTATGATTTTGTGCGGGAAAATTTGGCCATTAAAAAACATTTTCGATCAAAAAATTCTGGTCACCAGAAAATTATTTTTTAATCGAAATATTAGTCATAAAAAATTTTTCCCCCAAAAAAATCTGGTCATGAAAAAATTATTTCAATCAAATAATTTTAATTTTGGGCAAAAAAAATTTCTTCAGCGGAATATATGGAAATGATCGATGCAAAAGTTTTAATAATTAAAAATAATGATGAAAATATTCTTGCATCACATTGATAAAATTTAACATTTGTAATAAATTTCAGAAATAAATAAATTACTCAGTAAATTCTAAGATAATTCGGTAAACATTTATTATTATTATTTTACTCGCTTCTTGTAATATACTTTTTTTTTTTATATAATATTGTTTTAAGTTTATTGATGAAAAGATATCGTAATTTTTTATTTCTAAATTATATATTCCATGTTAAATATGAAATTTATGCAAAAATAATATAAGAATGAGAATTAAATCTAATATGTAGCGACTGTAACGTATTTTTTAAAATTTTTTAAATAACGATAATGACTAGTAATTTACCAGGTGGTATTCATTTTAAATCAACTTCTACTGTTGTACACTGTTGTATTCTCAGCTGACTTTACCAGCAATTATATGAGATTGACCATTACGAGAAATTAATTAATTATTTCCAAATAATCGTTATGTGGAATAAATGTTTTACAGTATTTCCAGAGTAATCCTATTCATAATAGTACTTGATGCTAGAATCACCACCTCGTGTGGCAAAAATAAAGCCATATGATAATCTTTGTAGTGGTAAGAATTGGTAGAAATGATACAAGTGAATCTAATGCAATTGTAACATTGCAATTATGATACACTTTTTTTAATAATTATTTATCCTGATAGAACGGTCATAGATAGAAAAGGATATTAAATTAGAAGGCGTTCAACTATTTAATTATTGTTCTATTAAAATATGAGAAAGCTGAAGGATGGGAAATGATAATTGATTTTGATGGTAAAGTGTTTGGTAGAATAGGCTATAGGATTTGGGATCATAAAGATTTCATAAGCTTTATAAACTTAAAGTACCACTTATGCAAATAAGTTTAAATATTAAAAAGACAATGGACTTATAAACTATTTGAAAGTAATGATTTTGAATGAAAACAATATAAAATGGGATTATATGGAAAATACACTTCACATGCAATCCTTGAACGTAACCATTGCTGTCAACAGTTGATAAAAGTTATTCTTAGCTAGTGTAGAAAAGGACATTCTATTATTATGCACTTGAAAATTAATCCACACAGGTCAAATTATTCCCTGTAAAAGATGTTGATCCGTGTTTTATATTTCCACATTTGTTCTTCACACACTATCTGTCACATGTGTGCCATACTTAAGTACGAAATGCAGGCATTGCGCAATTTAACTAAAATTAAGTAAGAAACGTGTATAAAAAGTCTTTCTAAATCAGCATAAAAAATATTAATGATGGACGTAGTGATTCTTTTAATTACCTATACCGACGACAACACGAATATTATTACTGATGGGCATTTTTTTTTGGTTTATTTTTCGTAGAAGATTCATTTATATCTAAAAAAATTACTTTTCGCTTTTGGAAACAATGGTATTAAATTAAATAATCTGATCTTTAGGAGTGAAAGCAAAATTTGTATTTATCAAATGTTTGCGTTTAGTACCTTAAGGTTGTGGAGTTACAGTTTCTACATTCATATCTTTACATTTTTCGATATATTCTTTAAGACAAGAAGCATTTTTGGACCATGTGATGGAACAAGTTTTACATTTATATTTTTCTTTTCCATTAAAATCAAAGTCGCTCATATCACTTTAATAAATTATATCCGAAATAAAAGAAGCATGCGTTCTTAACCTTGATGTTAGTTTAAAAATAAAATTAGATTTTAAACATTTATTCATTATATTAACTTGTTGTATATTTATTTTTTACAATGTACAAATTCATTACAATTTATTACGAAATTCAATCTAAAAGTAAATTCTTAAGCTTACTTCGAATTTATGAAAAAAGCAAATCAAAGTCTTAGCCGGAATTACGTTGTTGATATACTGTACCATGTGATCAATCTTGAATTATTTAAAATAGAGTTACACGAGTACGTGTCCAATCAATGAATGTTCAAAAATTTAAATATATCAAATTCTGTCAAGAAGACAACTTCAGAAAGAAAATTATTTGTAGACGATCAACTGATCAAGTTATTTGATAGACTAATTTATTACATAATCATATTAATTACACAATCGCATAAACCCATGATGATACAGTATAAGATACCATAATTAGCTCAATTTATAATATCCATCTCATTTTTCATATGTAATAAATAAAGATCACGGATTTATAATTCAGGAAAAAAACAAAAAAAAAAATTTGAAACAAAAAAGTGACGATATTTAAATTTACCAAATAAAAAAATTTCTATATAAGAAAATTATTATTCTAATAACAGTATATATCTTTAAAATTCACTATTATCTTCTTACATATTTTGTTAGAAAAAAAAAGATTGTATAATCTGACTATTTAATCTCAAAAGAATCTCTTTCGATATATAATGTTAAAACGTATGATTTAATTCAATTAATTCAAAATATATTATTGTTTTTGTATATTAATTATTTCTCATAGAATTAAGTAGCTGAATCGGGAGGTTATTCTATTTCTCGTCCGGGATAATAGTCATTTCTTTCAGGTTGAATATTATAATGACTTTCAGTGAGTGTTGACGTTATTTCTTGTCCATGATAATCAATTCTTCCAGGTTGAGTATTATGATGATTTCCAGCGGGTATTTCTTGTCCATGATTATCAGTTCGAACGTTATTATAATTACTTTCAGTGGGCAGTCGTACAGGATGAGCAATTTCATTTCCATTTCTTCTTTTACAGCATTTATTATATAATAATACGCCTAAAAAGGATAATAGAGCACCACCGATCATAGATCCAATAACAATACCAGTAATATTTGAATTATTATTTTCGGATTTCTGTGATGGCGATAAAGGTGATAAAGGTGACAAAGGTGACAAACTAGGTGACGGTTTTATAGGTACTGATGCTGATGTTCTCACCAGACTTGATGACGAGGTTTTAAATTCATTCGTCCATATATATTCGTTTACATTACTAATATCTAGTAATAAAATATCATTATCTGTAATATAACTTATTCCTATTAAAATTATCTTGGTTAGATTATAATAGTTTAAATTTAAGATAATTTGAAAAATATATTTACCAAATGATATAACCATATAATTTCCAATTACATTTGCCCTATGTCCACTTCGAAATGCTTCTGGAGTTGGCCCAGAAGTTTTTGGGATACGCCATTCAAAATTTATTAAACTTAATTCATATAGCGGCCCTTCAGATATGATAGTAGTTGTGATAGTATTATCTAAACCTCCAAAAATGATAATTCTTTGTCCATCTAACCCTATTTAAATAGAATTAATTACATTATATTTAAAAAATACTGAATTGCCTTTATAATATTTTTTTTTTTTTAAATACATACCAAGAACAGCAGACATCCCAAATTTATTAGGTATTATTCCTGAAGTTATCTATATACAATCATGAAATTAAATTGCAATGTTTATTTAAATCTTTTATAATTAATTTGATAATTTTATAATTAACTTACATTACTAGTCCAAATGTTATTTATTGTATTATAAATAAGAACCTATATAAAAAATTTTCATGATTAATTAAATTATCTGTGTCAACAAATCATTTGTTTATAAAATATGAATATTTATCTGTTATTCGAAAGGTAAATAATCTAGTTATAAGTTCTTGAAATTTTATCTAAAAAAAAAATTTATCGCCATTTTCAAAATGTTTGACGCAGTTATATTTAAATTAAAAAAAAAAAAAGAAAAAGAAAAACCGAAAGCGGACGAAAACAGGACGAAAACCGGATGGAAATTGGATGGAAACCAGACGAATATTGATATATTCACAAATAAACTGCCTCGACCATTTTGAAAATGGTAATATATGCTACAATTTTAGAAACAAAATAAAGCAATATACCTGTGATAAATCATTCTCCACTAAGTAATAAAAATATTAAACCAAAAAATAAATGAGAAATATAAAAATAGTAAATAATGTTAGAATCACACAGAATTACCGACAGTCCAAGCTTACCTATATAAAATATCTTATTATCAGGCAATAAAGTGGCAACATTAACAACATTTGGCGCGCCAACTGAACTTCCTTTTGTCCAAACTAAATTAATTGTATCGAAAATATAAAAACTTAAACCACCTCCGGCCCATAAATACATTCTTCCATTTCGGTCGATAACTGCCGTCGAAGCATCTATAATAATAGTAGGAGGTTCACCAGTTATTATTGGAGTACTCCATGAATTATTTTGTGGATCAAATCTGTAAACATCTTTATTTTCAACAAGTATGTTGGTGGCTCCCACAAGTATGAACAACGTATCATTATTTGCACCCCCTTTCGCGGAACCAGCATTATAATGTGCAGGAACAGTATTAACGTTTGATAAATCTGTCGATAATAAGTTTCGAGTATTAAATGGGACAGAAAAGTCGATATAAAAAAAATCTTTTCCAACATTACTATTAAAGATGTCAGAACCACCCAAAATATACAACTTATTATCTATAAGCGTTGCAGTATGTCCCGACCGTTTACGGTGTGATATTTGGCAATTTATTTCAATTAATAATTGAAATAAAATCCATAACGAAATATAGACTAAACACTTTTGTAACATTATTGCACCTTTTTTTCTTATTAAAAAAAAAAAAAAAAATAAAAAAGAATAAAAAAAAAATACTTCCTCTAAAAAAATGTATGGAGTTTTATGATTATTATAGTTATCACATTGTGTTTCATTCTTCCATTTTGGGGACAACAATTACTACAATATTATAATAATTTAAGAATACAAGGACATTGAGCAACATTCTAGTTTAAGCTTCAAATATTACTTATTTTAGTTTAAATTCTAATAATTCTAATATTATGTTTATATTAATTATAATATTAATCATGGTCATTGAATTATATAGTTGCCGATTTGTGTAATATCAATCTCGCTAATCTCGCTAATCTCGCTTAATAGTATTTAGTATCTTGATCAGAACAGGAACGAATCAACAAATCATGTGACTTATGATAAGGGTACACTGCTGTGTCACATCAGAAGTTTCATCGGCATTACACAAATAAAATTTTTTTTTTTTTTAATGTAGATTATTTTTATAATTAACATAAATATTATTTTATCTAGTCAAGTGATTGACAACACATTTTCGTATGATGAAGATAAATAAAGTAAAAAATATATATATAATCATCCATTAATTGGGCTTAAATATTTTGATGATCATTGGTTATTTTACAAATATAGCTTTGTGGGCGAATTTGCAAACCTATTTTTTCAAAATCCACCCTTTAGTTTAAATAACTCTTTAATAGTTGTAGGATTTCTTAATATTTTTGTACATTAAATGAGACTTAATTTATAAGAAATAAACGACAAATATAAAATTTCCATAGTCGAGTGATTAATTTAAAACGACCAGCAAAATTCCAGCATTAGGATCAAAGACAGGCCTGGTATTACTCAAATTCGCAGCGCTGATCATTCATGATTCTGCCCAAAATTGCGGGTATTACCGGGTAGTCGACTGATTTACTGCGTCTGCAGCTAAATTTTGATTAGCAAATATAAATAATATGAAAACCCTGTCGCAGTGTCGCACTAAATGTCACTCATGATCACCTTTCATACTTATTTTTAAAATTGCGATGAATTTATAAATGACTGAGAATCCTCATATAGATAGCCGGGAAATTACTAATTTTAGTCAAGTTTAAAATAGTTAATATTTAATGAGTAACACGCCCCAGGGGATTACCCATTTATTTCATGGGAAGGGGAACATTAGGGTTTATTTCCCTTCGGGAAAAACCCTATTATTCCCAACTCCCCATGAAATAACTAATATTAATTTTAATAAATAATAAGTTTTGATAAGCCAAGAAGGGTATTTAATGAGTCATAATTGTCAAAACTCCATTATTAGAATGATCATGTACAAATTGTGCAAGTTGATTTAAACCGTAAACTTCAATATTATCTACTGAAGTAATGTTTTCTGCACCAACAGCTTGTCGGTATTAATGGATTTTGCAATTAAAATATCGTGATGAATATAAATGTTATGTATCTTTCTCATCTCTTGTTATGACCAAAATGTAAAATCATCCCAGACACTAATGCACGCACATGTAGTTATCTGTATACAACAAATCATCTAGTACACACGCGTAATATTATTTCAAATTTTCAATTAATAAATCTAAATCTATTGTATAATAATAACAGATAGTATAAATAAAATAAAATAAAATAAAATAATCTTGTAACTTTATAAATTGTTAATAAAACGTTGAACATAAACTGTTGTAAAAGTTGTTATCGAGGAAAGTTTATAATTTCTTAATGAAGGTTCAATAAATGCATAAATTTATAACTAATATTAAACCCTATTTTAAAAAATCTTTTAACCATTGTAATCTCATTCTTCATTTCATAACCAAATATAGCTTCCCATAATATAAATATTACAACATGAAAAATGTTTGTTCACCTGTCCAAATATTTTAATTTCCAATAATAATATATTCATGTAATAAAGAACTAATAGCAAAAGCACCTGATACTCCCATCATATTTGCAATTTTTCTTGGAACAATGGATTTAATAAATTCTTAACCGGTAAAAAGCAAAGTTCCTTAAAAGTTTCATTAAGGAATAATTGCCAACGAGTTGACCAAAAATCACGAGGACTTGATGCCATCCATGGTTCATTAAATAGAGATTTTGTATTGAATATAAAAGATATCATCCATTCTTTTAAAGAAACATATTCTGTAGGGGTGAGAAGACCATGTTGAATTAAAATGGGTTTGTATATCGATTTTTTTCTGAAGTGGAATGAAAAAATAAACGAAAGATAATTGCAATAATGAAGACAAAGACATGATATTTTATTGAAAGCCATAAATACACGTTTGCAAAAAAATGCAACATATGTAAAATTAAAGGTATTGTAATAGGAGTAATTCCTTTTGTAAAAAATTCTAACCAATATTAACCATTTCGCGATGATGATTATGAAACATTTGAATAATTTTTCGTTAATTTGTCAGGTTGTGGGATTTAATAATTAAGAATTTCTCCCTTTTTCATTTGAATTTTCCAAATTTGGAAGAATTAAATAAGAATCAAACCGCCAATTAAATAATGACCAAAGGTACGATTTAAATTCTTTTAAATTCTTTGGATTTTTGTATGTCCTATGAAATTTTAAGAATAAAAACATTTTTATTCCATAATTTGAACAAATTTATTGTGAATTGGAAGTTTATTCCCACGATAAATTAATGGAATTGATACAAATAAAAGTGCAAGAGATAATAATACGTAAAAACGTTTCTTTGTTCAAATTGGTTCAAATGTAAGTGATATGAATAATGACATTAGAGTAAAAAAATATTAAAGAATGAACTGAATTGAGTAGTTCAGGGGGAATTTTTGCCATGTTGATAAAGGTGAATTGACGATAAAATTTAATGTATGAGCAATAGTTATCGATAATGGTATATAAACCAGATTTGATTTTGCGAAATGTTAAGATGACATTTCGAGTGTAGTGTCTATGTGTGTAGTCTATGACTTAATGAAGTGCTGAAATATGCCGATATGCTCTATGTTCTGTATGTTATATTTACGAAAAAAATGACAAAAATGCAAAAATATTTATAAAGATAATGTGCATATTGAGAATATAAAACTTTATATGAATCTATTTTTTTAATCGCTTGTTGAAAAATATGATGTGGACCAAAAATTACGGGAGTTCCTATATGATTTGATTGTGTTGTACGTGTAACTTGATTGGTCACTATAAATAGCCAGACATTATTATTGGCTTATTATCACGTGAACGAACATGACCCAGTAGATCTTCACTTTTGCTTCCCATTATAGGCAAATCAGCCATAGTGATCTACATTATTTAAAATTATCAATTTTAACCTGTAACCGGTTTTCTATTGACCCATATATATATTCCGATGAAACCATTTAATGGTCATACATCGGAGTTTATATAAAATGTACTTCATTATTTATTATTTATTTTATTTCATTTTATTTATTCAAAAAAAAAAAATGTCCAAACTTAATAAAGATATTCTTTTTTTGATATTTGAAGAATTACAAGATAATTTAAAATTCCTCTTTTCATGCCTAATGGTTAATAGAATATGGTGTGAAACCGTGATTCCAATCTTATGGAGGAATCCTTGGCGCTATTCTATTGATTATAAAAAAAATTCTTTATACTCCATTATTATTTCTTATTTATTTGATGACATTAAAGAATCCTTAACAAAGAAAGGGATTCAATTTTCAGGCCAATCACTTACATTTGATTATTTGTCTTTCTGTAGAAACATCGATATAAAAGTTATAGATGATATAATTTCCATTGGATCACCATTAGAATATAATCAATTTCTTTTACAAGAGGAAATTTACAGTTTATTGATAAAGAAATGTCCAGAAATAAAGTACTTAAATATATGTGGTACCTATGTATGAGATAGTATATCTTCCAGAAGCAAAGGTTCGTCTTGAATCACTTTGTGAATTAACATGTGACACATTGGTACTTTTACAGATTAGCGCATATTTGTCAACAAATACAAAGAATAATCATTATTAATAAAAACTTAGTAAAAGTTAATCATGGAACTACTAAGTTAATCGAATTTCAAAAAATTTAAAATATTTTAAATGGGTAGATGAATTTAAAGAAGATTATTATTGGGAATTATTGGAAGATCCTTATACAGAAATTTTTAACGTATTATGATTTGATATAAACCTTCATTATGAGTATTCCATTGATTATTACGATATTTACGATGATTTTAATTATACATTTTTACAATATGCACTCCTAGAATTTCATAATTTAAAAATATTAGAAATTAATTCTCCTATATTTCTAAATAATGATGACTTCAATAAAAAATTGGAAATGGTGGCTTATCGTAACCTTGAGATCCTAAAGATAGATTTTATAAATATCAAGTTAATTGCATGGTTAAAAATAGCTTATGTCTTAGAGAATTAAGGATCAATGAATTTCACTGGAATGATGATAATTTTTATAATAACTCTCTTAATTTTATTCGTACAATTTGTGAAAATTGATATTTAATTGAATATTTAACAATTCCTGTATTTCCATCATTTGAGAATCACTTTATTGAATTTGAAAAATTACTTAAAAAATGTCAAAAATTACGATCATTAAATTTTAAAGAAATATGTTATGGAGAAGTGAGAGAGTTAGAATTTGAAGATTATTTGTCAAACGTGTTAATTAGGGAAGCATCAGCAAATCTAAGAGAAATTAGAATTCCTTATAACATTGAGTTTTTTTTAAAAACTTTAGAAACATTCCTTGAAAAGTAGAAAGGACGACCTGCAGTTTCCTTATATTTTAATAACACTTATCTTTATTGAAAAGATAATTCATATATGAAACTGTTCAATAAATATAGAATTGAAAAAGTTATTAAAGATATAAACGTGTAGATAATTCATTTGCATACTGAAATTATTTATGACTACAAATTTGTTGCATAAAATATAGAAATATCAATTATGTATTCATGTATACTAAATTATAAGAGAAGTATAATAAAAGATTTTTATCTATAACCGAATAAATATCAGTTTCTGAATTTTTTTCAAACACAAATACTTCTGGACAATATATTCTAATTTCTTATTTATATTATAAATTTAAATTTCTATATCTTTTAATTACTGATTAACAATTAAATTCTTTCAGAGTATGATATAAATTAATTTAAGATTTTCATCTTGTGCTTTATTTATTTAATTTATCTTGAACTTTTGAATTTGATGTTGGTTCAGAAACATCTACTTTAAGCATGATTATTTTAATAAAGTTTATTAATTATTAAAGTTTGTTATCTACAATGATTATTGAATATATTTGATATTCTATATTATTGTCATAATAATTATATGTGAAAAAAGATATTTTAAACCTTATTATAGGTATAGTTAGTTGTTACTTCATCAACAGATCTCCATAAAATTCGATGAAAGTTATCTACAATGATTATTGAATATATTTGATATTCTATATTATTGTCATAATAATTATATGTGAAAAAAGATATTTTAAACCTTATTATATGTATAGTTAGTTGTTACTTCATCAACAGATCTCCATAAAATTCGATGAAAGTTATCTACAATGATTATTGAATATATTTGATATTCTATATTATTGTCATAATAATTATATGTGAAAAAAATATTTTAAACCTTATTATATGTATAGTTAGTTGTTACTTCATTAACAGATCTCCATAAAATTCGATGAAAGTTATCTACAATGATTATTGAATATATTTGATATTCTATATTATTGTCATAATAATTATATGTGAAAAAAATATTTTAAACCTTATTATATTTATAGTTAGTTGTTACTTCATCAACAGATCTCCATAAAATTCGACGAAAGCCAATTACTAATATAACAAATCCCTTTAATTTATTAGGATTTGATTTTGATATTTTAACACGTTCATCAAACACTCCTGAGCTAGAATAATTCATAGCTCTTCCTTTTGAAATTGTTTTCATATATAAACTTAATTGATTCATGCCATTATTTAGTATTTCACCTATAGTAGTTAAATTCATTTTTTTATCCTCCTTTGACCAATATGAATATGGTCTTTTTAATATAGATTCTTCATTTTCTGTTTCAAGTAATTTGTCTAGATTTTCCAGTTCATTTGCACCCAAATTATTCTTCTGATTTCTATTAAGACCTACTAAAGAGATATATTTTAATTCTAAAATAACATTATTATTTCCTATATTACTTAAAACAAAAATATCTGAATAACCAAAACGACCTGAGCCTTTTGGCTTTTTGCCATTAATTACTAATGAAAACTCTGGAATACAATACTCTGATGGCAAAAGATTTTCTACAATTACCTGAAGTACAGGTTCATTTGCTGATGACAGAGACATTCGTGACCTTAATAATAGGGAGGTCTTTAGAATCTTAATAAAAGGTATGATATTATCTTCAATAAGACTTTCATATGCTGAAATAACAAGAAGTGCATTATCAATAACTTGTCTATACACTAAATTATTTTTGTTTTGCTCTAAAATTTGGCTTTGTCTCTTCCAGTATTCTAATGGATGGTTAGTAAAATTTAATAATAATTACATTAATGTAGATAATTTAATAATATATATATTTACCTGAACTTTCTGTTGTATCATCATCTCTTACTCTTTTCAACTTTTCCTTTTGTTTAACTTGAACTTTGATTGAATTAGATGTATTAATAGGTTCTAAATTTTCTTTATATTCCTTAATAATTTTTTGCCAGAATGTTTGCAAATATTGCATATAACGCAAATGTTCTGTGTTTATCTGTCAAAAGAAAGAGATTATTAGTAGTGTGCCAAAATTTATTATTTAGTAATAAAGAAGGTACATAGCAGGTTCCTCCTCCAGAACTAGCAGACTTTATCAACAACAAAGTTAGGACACCTGAATTGAGAGCTTGGCTTGGTAACCAAGGTTGTCAACACAGTAATTCTCCTAAATCAAACAAGGAATTTCCTTAACTAGCTACCAAGATTGTCAATATAATATATAGATTTCTCAAATATAGATTTCTCATCAACTTGTTGCCAAAGTTTTTATATAATTCTTCTAAAATAAAAACAGTAATTTATCTAAATCAAACCGGAAATTCCTCAACTTGCTGTTGGTTATCAAGGTTGTTGGCATAGTAATTATTTTAAATTAAACAGGAAATTCCCCGCTCGCTTAGGAGTTATCCTAATTTGCAAAATAAAAAATTAAAAACACACCTTTTCTTTTAAGACCTTATTTAGATCCAACCTTTCTACTTCCTCTAAGAAATGAGTAAACCAGGTATTGTCAAGATCTTTCCAGTTATCTGAAAATATTGAAGCAACAATAAAATTATGATGTAAATTCAAAAATCTACAATATGATGATTTATTGCCTTGCTTCTTTAAATAAGAGATAAGAGCTAGATAGTTAAAAGGTTAGTTTGTTAGTGGTAAATATTGAATGTTAAAATACTGATCACAGGACTTACCATTTTGGCCAGGATAGTTCTTGGATGTGTTCATATTGATCAATGATTGATTGATTGATTGATTAGTTATTAATTGATTGATTAGTTTTTTAGTTTAATAATATTTATTTTTATTTTATTTTAAAAGGAAAAGGAATAAAGAAAGAGTATCTTATATATATAATAAAAAGACTACTTGTAGAAAGTATGACTTAAACTGACACACCAATATGAATAATTACATTTAATTAGTAATTGTAAGAGTGATATATTAATGCAAATAAAACATTAATATGAATAATCTTTATTATTATTTAGTCATGATATTTCAGTTCAAAGTAATTTTATGTCAAAGTAAGTAATTAAATTTGATTAACTCAACTATGAATAAATAATATGTATAATGAGTCATATCTAGAATGTTTAAACTATTATGATTTTAGTCATATTTAAATTAGAAAATGCAAGATATACCAGGAAATTATTTTAATGTTTATTACAGGGTAATCATGCCTTATATAATCAAATATACAGAAATCATATACAGAAATATTTTAGGCAATTAGGAAACATGTTGTGTATAAAGACCCTTGTGTGTAGTGTATGGTGATCTTTAGCTATGTACGTATGGTTGCACTGAATGTACTGTACGTACATACATGGCAAATAAATGATACTAATTAAATCAAAACGTACGTACGTATGAAAGAAATAAGAGATCAAAAGCACATATATACAATACAAATGATAAGGCACAGCCGCAGTAACTCAAAATTTGGCCATCACGTGACATGCCTATAAATCATTACAATCATCACATCCCACCAGGTTTGCGCTGTTTATATTTATCTGAGAGACTTTGTTTTTTTGAGTAGGTAAAATCCTTATTTGTCACCACTGTTTACTTTCACGCGTTCGTGCATAATGCCGTAACGCTGGCCCTGTGCTACAATTTTTGCCGGTTCAACTGGTGGTTCTTCGTAAACATATGCTGCGCCACTAAATACATTTATATATACACATTACACATACGTATGATTAGTATACATACGTACAAAGAATCTGTTTATCATATCGTACAATCACAATTCCTATATAATCTTGGTTTATGATTTTTTTCGAAAGGTTATCTTTTTTTTTATTAATTTATTTTTGAAAATGAAGAAATGGCGCTATTGCTTAAAATAACATACTGTATATGGACTTACATCACTTGACGAATAATACTGATATTTTCTTAAATTTTTGATTTGAGAATAGGAAATCTTTTCATTGTTCTTTTTAAACAATTATTTTGAGTTCATTGCAACGTTCATTCGAAGTCAATGATCTTTGTATAACAATTGTTTTTAGCATATTTCTAAAACATAAATTATAGTTCAGGATACATGTGATTGCGATTATCTGAAATGGAAAAATTAACAAAGCAAAAGTGTTACGTAATTCGAGAATCATTCAAAAAGGAAGTGATGCATATCAACAGGAGATAAACAAATTTTTAATGCCCATTCTATAGATTTCTAAGAAAGAAAAAAATTTATTTATTTTTTATTTTTTTTTTGCCTTTCGCTAAAAGGTCTGAAAATTCGGTTTATTTACTGCTACACTAGTGGCTGTATGTAACATGATTATTCTATGAAGAATTTAACCCAAAAATTTTTTTCCATACAGAAATTCTTGGTATGAAATGAATAAAGTCTAAATAATTAAAAGAAAAAACTTAAAAATTTTGTAATTTCTTTTTCAAAAAAAGCATCTCTTGTCAATTTATTGCTCTTAAAACACAAACCTTTTGTAATTTCTTCTCAAAATATGGGCTTGCGAATAATAATAATGCATTTTGTAATGGTCTTCTTTGCCCTGTCATGTTTTACCTTGCCGCCGAAAATTCCAGATATAGCAAATATTCGTAGCAGTTTGAACGATCCAATTTCAATTTTATCATTTTATCCTGATTATCTCTTAAAATGTTACACAGTGATGATAAACTTATACATTCTGGCAATATTAAAAATCTCAATCATTCTTTTCAAATTGATAGATTCTTACAAGACGGCCAAGTTGATGGCGCGGAAAATTCCAAATAAAGCAAATAATAGTAGCGATCCAAATAAAGCAAATGATTATGTAACAAGTTTGAACGATCAAATCAAAATTTACGGAGTAGCGATAAAGTCGTTATACCGCAAACGATTTGACTTAGAATTGTTTTAGTGGACGATATCATAATCGTTATACCTTACATTCATTAATTTATCATTAAATGATTGCATTAAAATTTTGATATACTCAATTAAATATATATTTAATTTTTCGAAGTGAAATACAGCATTTTTTTTATATAACTTATGACTTCGTAATTACTAAAAATTTGTTACTCGAGAAGTAACTTATACTATTTTATTTATTTTATTGTATTTTATTTATTTTATTCTATTTATTTATTTCATGTAATAATTAATAAATTATACTACCTTATTTTTTAATAATAAATTGTATAAAAAATTTTCTGAAGTATATTTGTTACGCCACAGCTTTACGCAACTTTAGCGGTAAAAGGACAAAAAAAATAAAATAAAATTTGAGCTATGCTGCGCACATACATGGGTATAAAAATTTAAATTTCGAATTAAAAGTAGTATAAAGAACGTTCAAATTAACAAAGTATTAACAACCATTTTTAGTTTGGCAATTATGGGAACAAGCTATAAAACACTTTAAAAGTTAATAAGTTATTAAATAGAAAAAAAGTTAGACTTTTACTTTATGTAAGTAACGAGAAATTGTTTGGAATTTAAAATAAGATTTTCTGTACAAAAAATTCTTGGTATAATATAAGTTGAATATACGGTAAATTATTAAAAGATTCAAAGAATTATTTTAATATTATATTAAGATTTTTCAACATATACAGTGGCCTGCCAAAAGTGACCGACCACCTAAAAATTAATGACATCAGTTATTTTCATTAATAATTTTTATATTTATTTTAAAATTAGAAATATAAAAACCTATTTTAAAAAGTATTTTTATACTTAATTAATAATAAAATTATGAATAAATATCTAATTTTAATGTAAAAAAAAAAATTAACTTTTTAACCAGAGCAGCTAGAGCAAAATAGATAGCAAAAATCGATTTTTCAACTAAAAATTAGCTTATTTTCAAAAAATCAGAAAATTTTAATCAGCAGTTCTTGGAAAAATCTGCTTTTAAATCATGAATTTTGGTGAAATTTTATAATTTTTATATGTAGATCATCAATTTTGCCGATTTTTAGGAGGGGATTTCTCAGCAATTACTAATCAAATTTTTCTGATTTTTTGAAAATAAGCTAATTTCTAGTTGAAAAATCGATTTTTGGCATCTGTTTTGCTCTAGCTGCTCTGGTTAAAAAGTCTTTTTTTTTTTCACATTAAAATTAGATATTTATACACAATTTTATTATTAATTAAATATAAAAATACTTTTTAAAATAGGTTTTTATATTTCTAATTTTAAAATAAATATAAAAATTATTAATGAAAATAACTGATTTTATTAATTTTTAGGTGGTCGGTCACTTTTGGCAGGCCACTGTACATTCACGATTTTAACGATTATATATCGGATTTTCTATTTTCGATAAAATTTTGCTCATTATTCATAAAGTTAGATTTGATAGTCTTAATATTATTTTGATCGAGTAAATCATGCTCAAAACCTGTTCTAGTATGTGTTATGAATAGTGTATTAACTTATTAATTGCCAAAAAAACTTTAGATTATTTACTGTATTAAGAAAGTTATGCGATAAACATTTTTGGGTGAACTTGGAGTGGATAACTCACTCCAAGCAAATGTTTCCACCGAATATAGGACCAGCTATTTCATGGACCGATTGGACCGCGGAATAAAAAGGAGGAATGTTAATATAATAATTATCCGTTTGAAATAATTGATTCATTAATAATTTCTCTTTCAGTTTTTAAACTTTCTTAAATCACATTCTTTTTTTTTTATGAGCAAAATATTCAATGGTCTTTTCACGTTTTCTTTGAAAATTATCTTTGAAATTGTCCGTTCATAACGTACTGATATTTTTTTAGATAAATTATTACTGCGTAATATCTTTGAACGCATTACGTCATTAGATTAAAATCACACATATTAATTTTTATAGGTAAAATACCTATTGTTTACTATACTTTTTATATAGAACATGATCCTGGGCGTCAGCATAATAACACAGTTATTATTGTGTATGTCTACCCAATAACTAATATATATTAAGATGAGAGCGGGTAAATTAGAAATTTTTTTATATAAAATTTGAAATATTAAATTCCATTTACCAAAATTTTATTACTATTTATCATAATTGAAAAAGTCACTATTGTACTTAATTTATATTTACCATTTTACCTGGCTTTTGTACTATATAATAATTACAAAATAAAAAATCATAGAACCTAAATTTTAGAAATAATACAGCTATCTTAACACTGCTAATAATAAATTTAAACTCATCATCAATTACAAGGATTGATGTTGACGATTTCTCTAAGTTCTTAAATTTTATCGTAATTATTAAGATAATAATTATTGAAAAATAAGAAATGATAAATCGTTCTATTGAATCACTAAATAACAAATATACAAGACTGCGAAATGTTAATAAAAGGTGATACAATAGTAATTAATAATGTATCAAAATATGTTGTCTAAATATGTCAATTTTTATTTATATTAAAATAAAAAACCTAAGAACATTAATTTCACAATGTTTAGTTATTATTAATCTTTCAGTACATCAATCTTCATATCGTCTCACACAATAAAAAAAAAATTTCAGTTAATTTAATTATATTTTATTAAACATAATAACATTTAAATAAAAAAATACCTTGACTCTGTTCTTGAATAGCAATAACAAGCATACGGTTAATTAAACCAGAATCCAAAACTATAAAATGAAAATTATGTAACTACACAGTAAATATATACATATATATTAAATAAGATAATATTTACCATTATTATCTTCAAATTAAACTCTTTTGGAATTTACTGATTTAGGGAGATTATTAGGAAATCTCATATTACGACTAATATAAATTGCTCCATCATGTAATGTTATTTCAGCAGGTGATGCTAAGACAATTTATCTGCTTCAGAAAATTCGTCAAAGATTTTTGATGGTTTTTTATCTTCTAATTTTAATTTCCAATTTTCAAATATTCTATATAATTCAATACTAGAAGGTCTTTCTTGTGGATCTGCATCAAGACACTGGTTTACTAAATCAATATAACGTTTAGGTGTTCCTTTAGCAACTCTTGGTCTTAAACCATTACAAATTGTAAGTGTAAGATCATCATTATGAGGTACAGTTCCATAAGGCGGTTTTCCTGTAGTTAATTCTGTCATAATAATCCCTAAGCTATAAATATCACTTGCTTCTGTATAAGGTTCTCCTTCCAAGATCTCAGGTGCTACATAAGGAAGTACTCCACATACATTTGTAGAATCAGAAGTTTTAGAATTATTTATGAATTGTGAAAGCCCAAATCAGTAATTTTTGTGTCAGAAAATTCATCATTATTAAGGTTTAAACCAAGACTACTCAATTTAGAGTTTAAAGATTCACCTAAATTAAACATTGGATCATTAAAACCAATGAGTATGTTTCCACTATGTAAATCTTTATGAATACATCCTGATCCATGAATAACTTGAAGATTTAATGTAACAAAAAATAATATATTTAATTTGTGTTCCCATTTTAAAGTAGAAAATTTTTCTTTTAAATAATTTCTTAAATTTTTATGTTTAGCATATGCTAAAACCATTATAGGTTCTTTTGATCGTGGATCTCTTGTTATACCATATAATCCAGTGCTACCAGTATTACATTCTTAACCTAAGTAAAAAATATTTATTAGTAATAACTTCAAATAATAATTAACTAAAAAAAATTTTTTATTCACCTCACTAGTAAGAGCTTCCATGATATTTAATGAGCTCTTAAATTTTTTAAGTTCAACTGTAATAGGACCAATACGTTCTCTATGGAGTTCATTAGGTTCTCCATCCAACCAAGTAGCTGAATAAATAACAGCATAACCTCCTTTACCAATAGGTTTAATATCTTGAAGCCTATCATAAGGTATCCATTCTAAATTATGATAATAATTATTTGTTTGAAGTTGTGATTCATAAGTTAATTTATCTAATTCAGGATCTCTATTTGAGTTTCCTTCTCTTTAAAAACGTCCTGGATCACATTTATTACACCAGTCTTCTCCAGTGTTTGGACTCTTACAATTAGAACATACTCCCTTTTCTTCAATTTCATCTCTTAAATCTTTTGAAAAAAGAGCTTTAAATTTATATTTTGTATCAAGTTTAGTATAATTCATATTATATAAATATTATATAAATATTATATAATAGTTGTTTAACTAATACTTGATATAAAATGAAATGAAAGTTTGGACAAAAAAAAGAAAGAGTAAACCGTAATTTTTAAAATTTATACAAATTAATAAAGTGTAACTATTCGTGCATGTGATAAATATAATGTATAGATCAAGCAGATCACTAATCCAAAATTGGAATAGTCTGTACAGCATATTTTTCAGCCGAATACTCACCAATAAACTAGTGATATTATATTAAGTAATAATGTATTGAATGAATAAAAATTTTATGGTGAGTTTATCAAATTATAACTTTTTTTAATTTCTACAACAGTTTGTATAGTTTTCTTTTGAAACAGTGTGTTCAACATTTGATTTTAAATTAAAAGAGGTACCACCTTGAATAAACGTAAATGTCTAAATGATTTACGGATGATCATTGTTCGATGATAGTTTGAAAAAGTCATTTACGATTTTCTATTTGGAATAAAATTTCAATAAAAACTCTCATAAAAAGGAATAAAAGGGTTAAAAAAGTTACAAAACATGAAGTACAATTTCATAAATAAATACCTTAAATTGTTATTCTTATAAATTTTCGAATTTGATTCATACCTCATAATTAGTTTGATTTATTGGATATACTATATTATTTGATTTAAATAGTAATAATAGAAATTTTATGTAAGGAGGAAAGATATGATAAATTGGTGATATAACAAATTGTTTAAGAGAATATTTTGCAAAGATCTCAAGTCAAAACCATTTTATTATTCTTATCATTTTAGAATCCAAGTTTAAAGTAAATCCAGATTACTTCTATCGCCACATTTTACATTGGGAATTATGAAGATGAACGTTTATGTCCATATCAGGGATGCAACGGTCGGTTATGGTCGGTTATAATCGGTTATAGCAATTTAAACGGTCAGTTATGGTCGGTTAAAAATTGGTTAAACGGTCGGTTAAACGGTCGGTTAAATGGTTGGTTATACCATTTTACTTAAATAATTGGTTAAATGGTCGGTCAAATGGTTAAAAATTGTTGGTCAAATGTTAAATGGTTGGTCAAACGGTCGGTTAAACGGTTATGATCATAACCGTTGCCATCCCTAGTCCATATAGTGCTTTTAATACTTTAATAGATCGAACACAACCGTGGCGTGATACTGAAGACAAAAGGAAAAGAGAAATAGTATAGAAGTCATTATGTCATACTCTGTGTCCTCCATTATGACATTTTATAGTCATTTTAACAACAGTTTTGAAATCCTAATCAACCTTATCCTAACCCTAATCCTAACTAATTTTCTTACCTAACCCTAACTCTAATCCTAAATGATGATTGTAACATTTGTCTGCGAAATGACCTTGTCGGTGAAAAGTTTTGTGGGTTAGGTACTGTAATTGACAGTGAAATTATTATGAATGCGATAGTCATAGTAACAAATTATTAAATAAAGCGTACAAATAAAACATATATATTGTAATATTAGAGTTAAATTTTACACTTATTACTTTAATTATCAAAAGCTATGTAATAATAATTTCTAATAAATAAAATTTTTTATTATTTAGTTTATAATCTAAACTACAAGAAAAAAGCCAATAAATTTTATAATTAATTATACGGGATAATTACCCACATCCAATAACTGTAATATTATGCATGCCACCCAATATTATGCCTTTATTATATATACATAACCAATATTTTTATCTCATTCTTTTTACTAGCAAAAATAAGCGTGATCATAATAGGCTGCATAATAAACATTTTTATTTACTGCACATTCACAATGGTAATAAAGTATGATAATTTATGGGTCATATCATGAGTATCGGGGAATCATCGGAGTGATGACACTTTACATTTTGGACTTGCATTTTTTATGGGAATCATTAATTACAAGATTACAAGATTATTTGAATTAATTTTATAAAAATATCATTTCTTTTACGATTTTATTAGCGTATAAAGAATACATTAATAAAATAATAAATTTATCTTATAGGGTTATTTGCTAAGAATAATTAGAAAAAACTATTTCTAATATTTTTTGTTACATAAAAACGCAACACAGCTTAAAAAAAATATTTAAATGGAAATATTTTACAAAGGGGAAAAAAAAAAGAATATAGGGGGTTCATTATGTTTAAAAAATTAAAATTTTTAAAAAATTAAGATTAAGATATTTTAAAATTATGATTTTAAGATATTTGAAAAAAATAGGAAATTTTAGTAGTGGAAATAGTTGGAGAGGTAACCGTCTTTCGTTATAACCGTCGGTATAAAAGTTAAACCATCCTAAAATTTTTAACCGTCGGTATAAGTTATAGACAATCCGTATTTTTTTCGTTCATTTTTCGGTCATTCGTTTCCGTTTTCGTTCTACTTTTTATTGGAGATTCTTTTCCGTTTTCGTTCTACTTTTTATTGGAGATTCTTTTCCGTTTTCGTTCTACTTTTATTGAACCTTCATTTCCGTTTTCGTTCTACTTTTATTGGAGATTCTTTTCCGTTTTCGTTCTACTTTTATTGGAGGCTATGAATTAATTGTTTCACCCATTTCGTTTATTAATTTTTTTTTGGTTTTTTATTTTTTCGATATCATTTTCGTTGATGGAAAAAATCTCCGGTCGATGGCCACTGTATTTATAATGGTTGAAGCCGATTAATGATCCATAGAAGNTTTTCCGTTTTCGTTCTACTTTTATTGAACCTTCATTTCCGTTTTCGTTCTACTTTTATTGGAGATTCTTTTCCGTTTTCGTTCTACTTTTATTGGAGGCTATGAATTAATTGTTTCACCCATTTCGTTTATTAATTTTTTTTTGGTTTTTTATTTTTTCGATATCATTTTCGTTGATGGAAAAAATCTCCGGTCGATGGCCACTGTATTTATAATGGTTGAAGCCGATTAATGATCCATAGAAGATTCGAAGAATCATTTATTTTTAATCATTCAAAAAACAAAAAATGGATAATTGTAACATTAAAAAAAATCATACGATATTATTGTGCAGCCAAAATCATTCGATTGTTTCGTTTATTAAATTATAGCACAACGTTATCCATTTAATCTTGACTTTTACTTAAAATGAAAAAAATAAATGAGAAGATTATGAAAAAAAATCATTGTACAATTAAATTTTCTCACAGTTATCCGATATATGCTTACTTTATTTGGTAAGTGTATGAACTCCTATTGTTTCATTCATTATTTTAATGAAAAAAAAGGTTTATGTTCGCGTTAAAGTTTGATAACAGATATTCTTGATTAAGAAAAATTTGGATCGCCAATATACCAAAAATGAAGAACAAGAGATTTTGAAATCGAAAAAAAAGGAAAAAATTAAAACAAAGTTTAAGTTTCAATAAATAATAAACATTTTGAAACTTAAAAATTATTTATATTTGGATTTTTATTTGGATATCAATTTTTTTTTGACGCGTTAATCATATGATATGTGTTTGTTACATTATTTAAATTAAAGTATGACACCGTTTTTTTCATAAATGAAATTTTCGTAGTGGATTGTTGAGAAAATTCAAGGTTTTGATCTTTTAGTAACTTATTACTTAATAAGAATTTCTTCAATATATTATAATAGGAAATAATTTTATTTTTACCTTTTGGCGTTGTCATGAGGGGGTTTTTTTTTTAAGGTTTACAGTGATTTACAGATTGGGGAGTCATTAAGTAAATCATACATATTGAAACAAACAAATTCTTTCATTCTAAGTTTCGTTTTATTGGTCGATCCTTAAATTTGTTTAAAATTTTATTTATTTATCCAATAATAATAGGAAATTCGGGATTATGATATAATTACATATTTTAAGGAGTTATACAACTAATAAAATTTAATTAATTACATAAAGAAATGCGTTAAAAAGAATATTTTATTTATTTACATAAGGAATTAATTAATTAAGGAAAATGCGTTACTAACAAAAAAAAAAATATAAATATTTAGATTTTTTTTATATTTTTCGAATATCTAAAAATAGAATTATTTTTCCTGATAAAACTTTCATCATCTAAAAAAAAACCAGGAAAAAAAAAAAAAATTTAAAATTTAGAAACAAGTTGTCTTAGTTCCTGACAGGCCATTCTAAATTGTTCAATAGAAAATTTTTTTTTAATATAAGGCCACGCAAACTAATATTTTCGGTTCACTTCACCCGGCCGGGTCACTTTTTCAAAATTTGACCAAAAAATTTTTATATGTAAAATTTTTGTCACGTGATTTCAAGTAATTTTATTGGTTAAATCTTAATTATCATGAATAGTAATTTAAACATTTTTAGACTTTACAAATTTATTTTCTTTACTCCTTCTCTTTTTATTTTCAACTTACGTACTACAATCTTCACAATATGAAACATACTCTCCACAATTATTTTCTTCTTCACATTCTGCTCCATAGTTAAAACAAAGTGCTTTTTTAAATAATCCACTTGAATATTAAATATTGAATTTCAATCGGACTATTACATGTAAATTCTGGAACAAATAGATTATTTGAATTGGCATTTAAAATATTGCGTAAATTCCATATTTACATATAACTTCCCAAGTAATACAGTTCAGCGAAATTTTTTCCCCAGCTAATATTTTCGATTAACAAAATTTTACTTCAAAATCTGCTCCCCAGAAATTAGATGATAAATATGAAATTGATATATCATTAAAAAATCTTTTATTTCTGTCTCTTTTTAAACTGGTAAACCTTCCTAATCTTTTAAAGTTACAGAGTTGTAACTTATTCGTACATGTATGATAGGCATTTTTAATAACAAACTGGAACGAAAAAAATTTGATTATCTTCGAAACCCCTAAATACAGATTATCTAGCCGGTACGTGACTTATAATAAAATCGTGACATCTGATTGGTTGACTTTTAAGGGGGAAGGTAATTAAAGAATTTATTTTCGCTCCAAAGTTCTCAGCCACGTGATAAACTTACCCGCCAATAAAATTACGTCCTGATCACGTGATAAACTTTTTATATATAAACTTATTTTTATTGAAATTTGAAAAAGTGACCCGGCCAGGTGAAGTGAACCGATAAATCGAATTTGTGTGGCCTAATGTTTACACTTTCATCAAGAATTTATTTTATAAGATTAATATTATAATTTTATATAATCCTATTTCACATTTCCACGCATTATATCACATTATTAAAAATTTTCTTACTAAATGTCATCGATTCAATTAAAAAGTATTTTGAAATCACCTATTTTCAATTAATTGTGGCAATGTAGAAAATGTAGCAAGATACTCGTACGACTCCTTACTTAAGTAAGTTTGAAATCATATTTTGGCGATTCTGATCAGATTTTCGATTAATTCGATTTTGACAAAATCGATTCTGCATGATTAGCTCCGTATATTAAACATACATTAATTATCAATTTGTTGATTATTTTTAAATTAAAAACGTTGCAGTTTGTAGTAGACCTCTCAAAGATTTTGAAGTCAAGTTAAATGGTACATTCTTTTATTTATATTCATAAAAATTTCAATAATACACTATTTTACTACGATCAAGGTATTATATACAGGTTCTTTTAATACTATCAGATTTACAGCACATTGGCGCAAGGTACATTGGATACAACGCAAATCACTATCAATCACGTGACTTCTAACGTTGCTCTACATAAAGGCCAAAATTACCTTGACAACATGGAACATATAGAACAACGATCCAAACACAGCAACAATGTATGATGAGTCAATAGCGTAGATGATTTTCGCTGTGAATAAAGATAAATGAAGAATACTCCAACCCACCGACCGATGGTACCTCTACTACATCACATAAGAAAACTCTTAATTCAACACGTCCTTTCATCCCCGTTAACGCCCCTTTTACGCAGGTTTACGATGCAATGACTGACGCACAATTAAGCGATCGAACGAGGAAGCGCGTAAATTCCTTAAACATAAAAGACGCTTTCATTAGACGTACTCCGCCGTCTAGTGATGATGAAAGATCTAGAAGATCAAAACAACCTAAGAAACATATAATATCCGAAACGCTGGATTTTGTGAATTATAAAACATCCATCAATCAATTTCGTTCACCTCCACATAAATAATTGCACACCCCCTATTTTTATAAAGGACAATACAAAGTTTTTTTATTAACAGCACCGTTCCGTCTATGACAGTATTTACAGGTGGTATTTTATGAAAGGGAATGGATTAATAGTCGTGATACAATTTTTTAGTTCATTTTGTTGTATAGTTTTTTTTAATGGTTCGTTTATATTTAGTCTAGGAACTGGTTATGTCTCAAGTTCTATAAAACCATAGGCAAGACGACTTCGTTGTAGTCGGTTTTAGGTGGTAACTCATATATGTTTGTTTAGTCTAGCTTTGTAATTTTAGCAACTTACAGTTTTATTATACATCTGTCGTAATCTGACTTTTTTTATTTTGTTAAATCGAAAGACGTATACACTATACAGACTATAGTCACTATACAGTGACATGTACAGTGTAGTCGGATTAATATAGAATAATGGCACACAAAAAAAATTGTAAAATATAAATGTGTAACTAGCTGTACTATAAAAGCTAATCTATAGAAATCAACTTTTCATCAGTGCCGCCACTCTGCCATATTCTCATAACCGAGCGGGAATGACACAATCTTTAGCTCAAGATTAGCAATTTGTTATTCATAATTTCAAAACCTTTCGATATTAACGCACAAATCACATAATAATTTTTTTTTGTATATTACAAAAAATTATTTTTGATAAAAAAAAAATAGCCATGTATCAATCGTATCTAGAAGCTACGAGTTACTGTAATATGGTGTACTAAAAAAAAAAATTCACACTTTACAATTATATCGTGCATTGAAAAATAACAGCAACTTTTACAGTGTTAAATAATATTATTCACAAATCGTAGTAACTATATTATTAACTCATAGAACAGTCAATATATCCAAGTCTATTTTTATTTTGTGAATAAAAAAGTATATTCATAGCAACCTTTTTTTTCCAAAAATTGACAGTTCGACAAAATAATCGGCTTTAGAGGCTTTCACAAATTTCTAATTTTTTCTTTGATAAACTGATACTAATAATTTTGAAATTCGGAAAAATATGCTGGTAGATTCGACAGATTTTGAGAATAAAATAAATAAAGATGCCCATTCCTTCCTGACAGCCCAAGCCCAAGTGTGTAAAAGAACATTCGAAATTAAATTTGCCAAATTGATTTCAAATGAATTTCTTAATTAGGCAATTCATTGAAATTATTAAATGATCAAAAAAGTCGGGTACCTGATTTACTGTTTTACTTTGAGTGATCAAAACAAAAGATGTTGTCTTCCGTATTCTCCGTCTATCTGTCTATGAGATCAACTTTATATAACAATTTGTTATTTAAAAATAAAAATCAAAGATTTTTTTTTTTTTTACCAGTTATTAAAACCGAAAATGAAACCGAATTCAAACAAAACTCTTTGGAGCTTATTGGTGATTTTCACTAGTGTATTAACAATTTTTGTGACAACTTATGTTAGTGCTTACACAATAAATACCTATAATCATTCTGAAGGAGATGCTTACATCTCACCAATGGGATATTTTACGCTTACTGATGGAAGCCAATTGCTTCGATTTTATCGTCCACTTAACAATAGAAAGTGTAATGAACCAGATTTACACTTAAGAGTTTTACATGTAAATGGGACCATGTCACCTTTTGTTGTTCAAAACTTTTCGATTCCGAAGTTTAATTTTTGTCGAATAGATATGGATGTATTATCACCTGATTATATCATAGTAACCAATCTTAACAGGGATAATATATTCTACATACTTTACTATAATATATCTGATACCGACTATAGTCTACCATTTGGAAGATTTATTGCTGAAGTGGATTCAGATGGAAATATATTAGGGTAAAAATCCTTTTATAACCAATTTATGCAAAAATGTTTATCTAACATGATTTATTTTTGTACGACAGCGAAAATTGGCTCGGTTACAATAATTATTATAATGGTAGTATAGTTGGACGATTAGGAAAATTTAAATTTATTTTTGATTTGTCCGATACATTTTATTATATGAAATTGGCTGATATTCATGATCCTGATACTTTGGAGTGGCAAAAATTTAAAATAACGTAAGTTTCACCATAAACTTATTAACCAATTAATAAAATAAATATTAACTTTTAATTTCTTAGTCCAATTACTGGAAGACTCCAAAAAGGAGAAAGTGGAGTGATATCTCGTAAAGATTTAAATCTTCAATATGATAATCCTATATATTCATTTTTAACGATTGATAGTGGACTTGGATTTATTTATTCAAAACGTTATTCCTCACAAGTTAATGCGGAACTGCAACCAAGTTTATATATTTATGTTAATTTTTACAAACCTGAGAATGAAAACAAAAAATTAACTGAACCATTTATTATTTATCAAACATCCACTCCAAATTTATCTATGAATTTTGCAATGTGTTCGGTAGATATTAAGGGTATAGGATATCAATGTGTCATTCAATTAAGAAAAACTACTGAAATTGATCCACTTAATAAAGATATTTATTATGGTCATAATTTGGTATTAATTGTTTCATTTCTTTCGTCTGGTTCAGTCACTAGGATTGTACAATTAACGGGAAATTACGCGAAAGCTGATTCGGTTGTTAAAGTCCCTCTAATTTATGGAGGTTATTTATTAATGTATAGGAATAGCGTATTAGACGTAGATGGCGTACAAGGGTGTTTACTTGGAGGAGATATTTTTGATACTAATGACATGTTTAATTCAACTTGGGATATACCTCCCAATTTTACAATTCAATCTCCATGCATTTTTATTTATAATTTTATTTATAAGACCTTTGATATGATTTGGAAAATTACGCCAACAGATTTAACAATTGTTTCAACGGATGTGCCAACATTTCTTTACATTGAAGGGTAAAAATTTTATTTACTGTACTTAATAGTAGGAAAGGAAATTAACCGGTGGGCAGAATTAACGTTAATTCCTTCCTTACTGGTAATTTTACTCCCAGTTAAGATTTTATATAATTATTTATTTTTTATTTTTATACGTACATATATATAGATAGTGAACTTGCCTTGAAATCGGCAAAGATTAGTTCAGTTAATCCAAAATATGGTAAAACAATCACTTTAGGAAGAAATACTCTTGAAATTAATTATGAAGTTCCAATTTCATTATCGATTCGAAATATCACCATCTATCAAGTTAACGGAACAAATATTCTTATGCGACAAACAACTTCTGGTAAAGCATCAGAGTTTTTCACAATAGAACAAAACAAAATTACTTTAAAAGTATTGCCAAGTACATTTAATGTACCAAGTGCTGAATATCATATATCTATTGATCCAAATTTTGTAATGCAAAAAGAAATTAATGAACCCATAGATAGACTTCAACATTCATCGTGGGTTGTCATTACTGGTAATTATTATTTTATATAATTATTCAAATTCTTCACTTAAAAAATTCTAAATTTACTTATAAAAAAAAAATAGAAGCGTTTGAGGATACTTATGCAGGTATATTATAATTAATTTATTCAAGAAAGAAAAAAAACTTTATTTATAAATTTTAATTAAATTTATTTTAGAATCTTTTACTGGATCAATTAGATTAATACCTGAAGGAACAAAACTTTTTTATCAAAATAAAAAAGAATTTATTGATCAACTACTTCAAGAAATTTCATTAATTCTTCCTGTTGATCGTGATAGATTAAAGATCAAAGATCATCAACAAGTGGATAGTTCGACTCAATTTGAACAATTAATTATTCCTTTACAAATCGAACCCACAAGAAATTTATCTCAGAGAAATACCAATAATTTATATCACGATTTAAATCATATGATTCTAAATAAACAATATACTGTAATTTCTAAATATCAGTATGCTTCACTATTAGATCAATCTTATGGATATAAACTGAATGGTAAATTTATCGTTATAATTATCATTAAATTTGAATTTATTGTTGATTATAATATTATTACTTTTAGCCGGTATTAAAGAAATTATACGAGATAATAAAGAAACAATATTATCCGCTATAGTTGTTCTTTTTATCATAATTCTTGTATTTTTATGGGCTAAAAGAAAAGGAGAAAGGAATAAGGATAATGAGGATAACGAGGAAAATGAGAAAAATGAGGATGAAGAGGTAATTTGTATTTGTGTTTTATTTAAATTAGATACTAATATTTATTATTATTTATGCTAGAGATCAAATATGATTATATTGAAAGTCGGATTATCTCTTATGGATTTTGTCTTGGATGGGTTATTCATATACAAAAATGGTTATGATATTAAAATACTTTTCATTCCAAGGTTCGTAAATTAATAATTGTATATATAAATAAATTAATTATTACTGATATCTAATATATTTATTTTCAAAAATAATAGTCTAGTGATTTTTGCATTTGCATCAATCTTTAATTTAATATTGGCATTGTCATTAATAATATACGAAAATTTTAAGCATGATAAATTTAAGGAATGGCTTAAAAAAAATTCAATTGTCGCATCAATATTTACACTTTTTTCAGCAACAAATGTTGAAGTTTTAAATGTCTTGACCTCAAAAATAGGTGGATTCAAAATGTTTTCAGCAACTTTTAAGAAAAATACAATCTCAACAATATTTTGGCTTAGTGTAACTAATTTCATTGTTAAAGATATTCCTCAATTTGGTATTCAGGTAATTTATAATTATTTGCTGTTATTATTATTATTATCATTATTAAATTTCATAATTAATTTAAATTTTTTATATATATAGGCTTATTATATAACACATGTTATATCTTATAATGTTATTCCATTTTTAACTCTTGTAACAAGTAGCGCAATGGTCGTTTTAAATGTTATCGGAAAGTTATATAATATAATCATAGAATGCCAAAAACGAAGTACTGATGATGATGATGATGATGGTGATGGTGATGGTGATTAAGGTTGCTTGCCGAAACCTAGGGGTTTAGGCAAGATGGCATTTTGCCGAAAAGCGAAATTCTGCCAAAACTATATTAAAGTTATATTAAAAAACTGGCAAAACTTTGGAGAAAGGCGAAACTGCCGAAACTTATTATAAATGCTGAAACTGCCGAAACTCTGCCGAAACTATAATAAATCTATAGTAAAATTTTGACGAAACTAATCGTAGGATTTTGAAGAGGTTTAGACAAGCAACCTTAATGGTGATGATGATGATGATAAAGAAGGAAATTTAATCATTGAAGCTTAAATTATATTAAAATTATAAAATTATTGTAGATATTGGTTTTTGATATTTATATTTGTATAATATTTTTTATTTTTATATTTGTATAATATTACAATAATCGGTTGAATCTTGGGGCTCATGACATCGTGATGATCAGCTGACACGACACAAAAAATATTTTTATTACGTAATACATTTTTTGGATTTTGTGATTGGCTGTTTAGTTCGATTTTAATAAAATCGTTTATAATTTTTATTTGATTCGATTCTCGGTAGTTCTTGAAAGTTTTTACCACATGTAGAAAAGACTAAATTACTACATTATATTTGATAAATTATTTGCTCATAAAAGTCACCTCTTTAGAATACAAACTAATAATTTTACGGTTTAAACCAAATTTTTATAATTTCATGAGTTAAGTTTTATTACAAATATTATAATATTCAATAAATAAATATGGAAATAATAAATAAATATTTGCTGTACATTGTCTAGAACTTAAAAAAACCAAGCTCCGCAATTACCATCAGGAATCTCATCCCTTTTCCGCATATAACCATCCTTACAATGATCCGTTGAATTTGATTTATTTACAACAAATTTTCCTACATCAGGTTGTGGATGTGGCACATTATCTGGTGGTGGTAGTAATGGAGGTTGTGGTGCTGGCGCTGGTGCTGGTGCTTTAGGTGGAGGTGGAGGTCCTTCTTTTGGCGCTTCTTTTGGTGGAGGAGGTGCTGGAGCTGGAGCTGGAGCTGGAGCTGGTTCTTTTGGTGGAGCTGGAGCTGGAGCTGGTGCTGGTTCTTTTGGTGGTGTTGGTGCTGGTGCTTTACCATCTCCACCATCTGGTGCTTTGCCACCATCTCCACCTGGTGTTTTACCACCATCTGGTGCTTTGCCATTTCCACCATCTGGTGCTTTACCACCTTCACCTGGTACTTTTGGTTCGGGCCCTTTTGGTTCTGGTTCTTTTGGTTCTGGTGCTTTTGGTTCTGGTTCTTTAGGTGGTTCTTTAGGCAGTTCTTTTGGCGCTTTTTTTCCTTTACCCGGTCCTTTTGCATCATCATTATCATCTGGTTCTTTTGTACCGCCCGGATCTTTTCCGCCACCTGGTTCTTTTCCGCCACCTGGTTCTGGTCCTTGTCATTTTTGAAGAGTGTTACCAGTTGAATTAATTGATTTGTAAGTTGGAAAGGCAAAATTAACAACAATAAATATTATAATAAGCGTTATAATTAATATAAGCTTATTTCTAAATACAATGTAAAACATATTGAATACTTTAATTTGTTAACAGAATATTATATAGGTAAAATTTCAGCTCATTAAAAAAAAAGTGGAGTTTTTTTTTTAAAAAAAAACAGAAAAAGGGGTAAAGGGATTTTTACATGCCGAAATACGAATACAAAGTTCCATTTTTATATTTGTTTGTGTTAAATAAATAAAAAAATAAATGAACTCTTTATTTTGTTTTTCGTTTTATTTACATTACAATGTAAAAAACAAAAAAATAAAAAAGAAGAAATTCAATAAATAAAACAAAATGAAATTTTTTTTTTTTTTGTTATTGTTTTTTCATCTGCATCATAATGAATTACCTTAAATAAGGAATTACCTAAAAAGGAATTCGGAAAATTTATCAGAAATTACGCATTCTAACTGATATGATTATTACGGAAAAAATCGGTTGATAAGAATTTTTTGATTATTTCATAAAATAGATGATAATTTAAAAAAATTTGTAATTGGCTATAATAATTATTATTAGTATTACCAGAACTTTAAATAGTATAAGCAATATATGGACGAATCTTGATTAGTGATATGCAAAAGGAAAGAATGGCGATCTAAAATTAAGAACAAGAGCAATAATAAAAGATTTTTTACCTCAAAATATGTAAGACGATATTTAAATTGATTATCTAGTATTATGTAATTATTAAATAAGTTTTTTTTTTTAAAAAAAGTTTATTGATAAATCCAAAAATGTCTTAAAAAGTATTAATATCTTAATGGAAACTAATTTATAAGCTCTGAAAAAAAATCTAAATATATTAATAAATAGCACCCATTAAAATTTTTCTGGATGTTCATCAGTTCCAAAATGTATTTATTGTTTGAATATTCGTTACGAAATAATTTTTTATTATTTGGTTTTTATTTATTAAATAAAATTTATAAAATATTCAATAATTTCATCTCCAACTACTAAATTCATATAAGAAAATCTTGAAGAGTCAATTTCTTTTATCTGTCAGTAATATTAATTCATTTTTATATTCACCGCTAAGGAGATGGTTCGTTGGTTCGAGCATTAGTTGGTATATATATCATGTGATCTACGAATATATACATTCGTTGCACGATGTTATTATCAAGATAGATTTGGTTTAGAAATAAGAACACTAAAATGAAGCTATCGATTTGTTCGAGAAAAAACTTAATAGATTTTAATGTAAATATGACACCTGTGAGAGAATTACATTTTACATATTATGTGACGTTTCTAATATTTTATTTTTTCTCAATAATTTTAATTTGGCCAAATTTTGGATGAATTCTGGTTGAATTCAAAGATCGACACATTATACAGTAGTTCCTTTACGTTGGATAAGTTTCACGATTTTTTAATATGTTTTTATGTAATATTTATAAGCAGGATTGCAGACATTGAACATGAAATGACATGTTTATAAGCGTAACACTGGTGTAACTCAAAATTCACATTATGTGTTATCCTTGACATGGTCGTCGGGCGGGGTGTGTGTGTCGCAGGCTCCACCCACCTCGGCCTCACGGCCTCGCAGTACCACTTGCACCGCATTTTATCGTAGAATAGAAAACAAGTCCTCCATTTTCCCCATTTTATTATTTGTACCTTGTAACGCAAAGATTATTTAAGTAATAAATTATTTTATTTTTATATAGGTACTCCGTGAAGTTCCCATTCAAAGATCTTCAAAACACTTGCAACAAATACTCTTTTGTGGTAACGATCTACTCATACGTTTAAGGAAATACTTTGGGTGAAATTTTAAATTAATCATTAATCATTAATCATTAATCATTAGTCATTACTCATTAGTCATTATTGAGTAGAGTAGCGCCCCACCCTCCCACCTAGCGAACTTGGGTTTTATTTATAGTTAATAATTTAATTAAAAAAAATAAATAAATAAATTTCAATGAAAAATTTTTTTAACAAATGAAATTAAGACATGTAAATTTTAATGAAAATTAACAAATGAATTTAAGACATGTAATGTAAAAAAAAAAAAAAAAATTTAATTAATTCCGAAAAAAGGGAATGAATACCCCCCTATTACTAATTAAAAAAATCCTAGCCACAGTATAATCGTTTATTATTTAGGAAATATTAAGGTTTAATAAATATACGTTTAAGGAATAAATTGGCGAAATAAATAAATTGGCGAAAAAATCATAATTTAATAAATAAATAAAATAAATAATTTAAATAATTTAAATAAATTAAATTAAATAATTAAAAATAATAAATATAATATAAAAATATAAAATAAATAATAATACTGAATGAAAAAAAAAATTTTTGTCAAGAATACTAATAAATAAAATTGTTAAGAAAAAAAAAAAAAATTTTTTTTCTTTACGAAAATGAATTTATTACGTGGTCTAATAACTTGTGTTCGAAAAAGTAATATTTAATAATCGATAAGCCTGCAATGACTAAATTTAGCAAACAAAGTATAATTGTTCATTACCTTCTTAGGAAATATTGAGGCTTAATGAGTTGCATAATCAAAATAGATTTTAAGATCATTAAAAAAAAATTTTTTTTCAATCTACATATACGTTTAAGGAATAATTTGATTGAAATCTTAATTAATCATAAAATATATAAAAAATAATAAAAGAATAAATAAATAAATAATTATGTTAAAATGAATGAAAAAAAAAATTTTTTCACAAATGATTTTATTTAATTAATTATTTAATCAATAAGCCCCTTTTGTAACGACATTATAATTTTTAGCTACCTTATTAGGAAATATTGAGGTTTAATCACCTCCTTAAACTGCAGTTATTACAATATACTTTTATTGAAATGACGCAATGTATATGAGGTAATTTTTTTTTTTTATTTTCAAAATGATATACATGTTATAAATATGTAAATAAAAAAAAAATTTATTTTCTTTCTCACATGAAGTGAAACAAAATTTTTTTTTCGAAAATTTAAATTACATTATGGAGCCTCCGGCTTTTTGTTTAGGCTCTGGTTTTTTGTTTAATATTGAGTATTGGGTATTAAAGAATTGGAAAGTTGGCTGTGAAAATAGTGAAAGATTTAAAATATATATATGTATGAGATGAGTACGTTTGTGAGATAAAAAAAAAAAATTTACTCTTTAATTACTCTTAAATAAAAAAGAATATGCCCGCAAAAATATCTACAATGTGTTACATTCATGAATTCACTAAACGCCTTACTCAGGAGTTTACAGTAAAGGAAATCACGGCCGTTGCAAGATTGGATGATGATGATCCGACAAAGATTGTATATTTGAGAGTAAAGGCCTTCATTCCGGTAGATGAAAATATTCCATGTCAGATCAAAGATTTTAATAAAGGTCAAGTGATTTTCTTAAAAGGAAAGTTCGTTGCTTGCGCCAGTTGGTATAGTGTATGTATTGGTTTGCGCGTGTACTTTTGAAGTTAATAAAAATTAGTTAAAAATTTTTTTTTTATTATATATCAAAGGTTAATGCAACGTCCGTTAAGTTGATTGATAATATGGGATTTGATGATATGCCTGCAATCGGGTTAAATGTTATGATTATGGGTTTAACCACCAAGACGATAAGAAATGTTGATAATCAATCGATTATTGAATTCTATGTAGAGGAAAACTTGGGTGATCGGAAACTGAGAGAATTTTGGGTTGAGGTTCATCATAATTTGAACCTCAGATATCTTGCGAATAAGACTAATGCTATAAACCAGAGCATGCGATCGACTACTGCTTTGATTATGGGTACGCTAACCTACGAGATGCCGGTGTTAGATGAAACTAGCAGGGAAAAGACGTCTCCAGGAAAGCACATATTAACATTAGATGATATTTCCTTGATTTCTACTAACCGTAACCCCGCTGTTGATGCTCAACAATTATCAAATGCCTCGTAGTTGAATTCGAGAACCAATAACAGAAACCAACGGACCGCTCATGGTGCTTCGCCAAGAACCTCAAAAAAAGGTCGAGGAACTTCATCTCAAATGAGATTGAGATCGTCAACACTCGCGTCAGCTTTGGATTCCAATCCGATCCCTACTATGAACAATGAAACCCAGCAGGAAATTTCAGATGAGTAGATTACGTTTTTAATAAATTTTTTATTTATTATGATGAATTTATGAATTATGTAATAAAAAAAATTTGATTTCTTTTATTTTTTTAATACAAATTTATTATAATAATAAAATATGACGTAAATTTTTAATTATATTGATTAAGAACAATACATTTAATTGAATACGTAAAAAAAAAATTTTTTTGATATAAAAAAATCTTTGGGCTGCTTGTACGCTAATCCATATATATTTTTCCGCTTCTTCTTACATTACATTATAAATACAACCAACTTTATCTTCATAAAAAAAAAAATGGAAAAAAATAAATTTGTTCTTAATTTAAAAATTAAATCAATACATTTAGTGAATACATAAACAAAAAAAAAATGATACAAAATAAATTATCGGGCTGCTTGTACGGTAGTCCATATATATATTTTCCCAATTCTTCTTACATTATAAATATTTCCCAAATTTCTACTCAGAAAAAAAAGAAAAATTTTTAAAAAAAATTCTCAATTAAAATTATAAATGACTTATTATCGAATTCATAACGTATACACTTTTGATAACGATTACGAAACCTTAGTAGATCTGACGACGTCACATGTCGATGATCTAGATTCTACTCCATTAAACTTACCCTATTCGAATCATTATCTTCTAAGCCCTCACTGGTCGAAATAGTCCAAATTGGCTAGAAATCGGATGTCCGATTTTAGGCCGAATTTGGTGATAAAGATGGCCGATTTATTAATTTAGGCAAAGTTCCGATTGGCAGGCTGATCGACACCGATCAGAATATCCAAATTGTATCTGAATTGCTTAGTATTTTTGATCCAAATTGTTTAAAAAAATATATTCAT